AAAAATGAAATAATAATAAAAACTTCTTGAGAGAAAAATGCTCATATTCGAAATAAATGCATTAACGAAGACTTCCATAATGCAGTCCAGCCGCAAAATTACTTTGACCGTTTGCAGTAAATGCTGATTTCTGTTTCACCCAGCCTTTGAAACTGCCCCCGAACTAATAAGCAGCAAAACTGCACGAAATATACTAGACAAATTTTACAACAAACAAAAATTTCATAAAACCAATAGCAGTCAGCACAAACGATCAGTAACAGCATCAAAAAATTTTCTTTTAAAAAAAGGCAAAAACATAGAGGTAATGTCTGAATTCACCGTAATCACCGCTAGCTTTCTAAGTTATTATTCGACATAAAAATAATAATAAACAAAGCGCCTTATATCCTTACAAAAAAATAACTACAGTCGTACCAAATTTAAAATTTTCAAAAGAAAAGCAATTCAGATGAAACGGCAAACTCTGTAAAAACCATTAAACTATAAAAAAAGTCAGTGTTGTCTGGGACGACATAAAAGACCTGAGGAACCATAAACAGATGGTGGCGGAGGTGGAGTGCGTCCGCGCATTGTTGAAGATAATGAAACTACTTCTGCTTTTCGCGTACTTGCTGAAAATAAAGAACTACTGTCATTGAAAAAAAGTTAAAGATGCATATTTGCAGACACTAGTGAGACAATTAGAACCTCGAGTATTTGCGGGAGTAGGAGGTAGAGACGGTGGAGGTGGTGGAGGCGGTGGCCTTAAAACACCACTATTATTAGTAAGTAAAGATGGATCTGTGCCGCCCAAAAGCATCTGCAGTCTTTCCTCCAGCGGTAAACGAACTTCCTTTTGCTCTGAATTTGATTTCACGGAAGCAACCGGAGGAGGCGGTGGCGGCGGAAGCGGCCGCTTTGTTTGGGAAGCCGCAGTACGCTAAAACAGGAGAAAATTCAGGCAAAATGATCGAAACTAAAACAATTAATGCAAAATTCATCTAAACCAACGTCTCCTACTTTACATGAAGAGAAGCAAAAAAATACAACTTACAAACGGCTACGAAATATTTCCCGTTAAGAAAAATAATAGGACAAATACTTACATTACCCTCCACAGTTTCAGGAGGAGTACGGCACCGAGGATGGTTCAATGGTGTTAACGCTTTAGGCGACCGACTAGAATTCGCTGTAGGCGGCTTACCATAAATCCGACGTTTAAGATCATCCAAAGATGCTGTTGGAGCGTCAAGCAACTGAGCAGGATCAGGAATTGATCCTAGACGCAACGAAGTTCTTCTAGTTACGACTTCCAAATCATTATCCTTGATTGTTGGTATAAACGATCTCGATGAAGTAGCACCGTCCTCGGCCCTGCTAATTAAAACCACATAACGACTTATAATACTAAATGTTAAGTTCCTGACATATAACAAGCAGATTTTTTTCTAGACTTTAAAAAAAAAGAAGCGACTTATAATTGTAAACTTACTTCCCATCAGTATTCACATGCGTTGTTTCCTTTCTTTTTTTGTATTCGTCTAACGACATCTTCTTTTTCTGTGGCTTCTTAGAATGATTAATACTCGCTTCTATAGCGTTATTTGAACTGACACTGACAGATGTGCCGCCGACCAAGCTGTGCGTCTCCGAGCCTCCGTCTTTTCTACGAAATTCTTTGAAAGGCAACTGGAAATCAACACTGCCCATTTCCGCCGTGATAGCGCACATATGAGCATAGCAAGCAGCCAATTCCTTGCTAGCTGAAATAAAACAAGCGGTTACCAATAGGAAACCTTCAAAAAAAGTCTGAAAACTTCTCGGTCAAATCATTCCGGAATTCCCTCTCACTGCATCTCGAAAAATATAGATAGTCAACATCAGTTCAATAAATAATATTTTAAAAAAACCATAAAACAACGTTCAAGTTTTATAACCTTACCCTCAGAAATTGTAGTAAGCGCAGCTGTCGGATCAGGGAAGCAATCAACCTGAATATCATCAACGTTACTTAAAGAAACTCTTGAAACAGCAGCCTTCTGCTTTACTTCTGGGCTCGCAGGAACAACATCAGAACTCTTTCGTTTTTTCGTCGGAGAGCACTTCTAGATGTGGGAGGAATGTGTTATTAACACTTGAAACTTGATCTGAGATATATTTGTAAAGATCCTAGATGATTCCGACAATAACAAATCCTCATAAAGATTAAAAAAATTTAAACATAAAAACTAGTCTCAGTAAAAATCGACTGCAAAAAACCTTTTACACATATTACAGATGCTAACTATGCATAGAAATCGGTAAACTTATAAAAAAAAAAAGAAACAAAATTAAAATAAAATTAGAGGCACTTTTTGAAACGTTAGCTACTAACAAACCAATACACGACATAAGTGAGGTGTAAAAATAAATAACATCTGATAAATTGAACAAACCAACCATGATATCACTAGACTTCAAATCCGGATTAGACGAAATCGGATCTACAGTGCACTTAACATCTTCACTATTTGCAACATCCTGCTGGTCAGGTCGTCGAAGAAGATACGAATTTTGTGTCGGTGTTGATGGTGGAGCAGTAGCTGGTATCACAGGAGAACCTAGAAGGAAATCATTACGTATCAAGAGACTTCGATCAAAAATCTGATGAATAGTGATAGATAAGTCTTAGTGACACGTAAAATAAAACAAAAAAATCAAAAGACTATAAAAAGCCTAAGATGCTTACTTTCGAGCGAACTACTACGCGCGGCTGCGGCCCAGCGTTTTCTTGGAGCAGTCAAAAGCGTAGGGTGATGGGGAACGAGCGTGCTATGCAGATTTTCTTCTACTTCCGGCTTCTTGATTTTCGCATCGGTATTAACATTCTCACCAACAGATTTGTCTTAAAAGCAAGCCGATTATGAATTACAGTAAATGAGCAAAAGCACAATGATGAGTCAGAAGAAACTATTGCCTGTTGAAAACAAATACTGGTCAATTAACCGATAAAGAAAAGCAGGCAAAAAAGCCACCAGTAAATTTGTGAAAAGAAATCTAAGATCTGACTTTTAAAGAAGCCCTTGTCATAAAAAAGGCAAAACAGTAGAATGCGCCTCGTAAACCAAAGAACTGTAATTCTAAAGAACTAAAAGCCCAATTCTACTTCTCTTACACGATTACCGTAATCTTAGGAAAACTTTTTCGGTGCTCTCACTTAAAGCAGAAAGTGTGTTCCAAAAATTAATCCGGCCTAAAAAAACAAATGCACCTAAAATAATAGCAAACACACGATGATTCTAAATCCCCTAAAGTGACAATAAAAGTGACCAAGAGTCCACGTGAAACAAAATTTAGTACCATAAAACTAAAACCGTAATGCTCTCAAAAAATGGCCTGTTTATAGCTTAAAATACGTATATCTCGAAAATGAGTATGGCGACAAATTCACAACCGCCAACCTGTAACTGAAAAAAAAAAAAA